AACCGAAGGGGAGAGGGCACAACTAGTGAGAATTGATTTTATATAAAATTATTGTAATAATAAAATATTTTAAAATTTATAAATAAATATTTATTAGATTTTAAAAAATTATCAATAAATATCTATTAAATTTCAAAGAAATTCTCAATAAATACTCAATGGGCTAAATACCTAACATGCTTTAAAAAAAAAATAACTTCAGAAATTAATAGAATAAGAAATAAATAATTTTAAAATTTATAGAATAGGAAATAAATCTAAAATATTATATTATACAATTATATAATAATCTACCATATAAACTTCAATTAATATTAGGGTGTGAGTTTTACAATTAAATTGAATTTCTAACCATAATACTATATAATTATAATTGAATTATATACCAACAACTTGTTGGTCGAAATAAAAGGAGTTTGGTTTCTCTTAAGTAAGATCTTGGGTTCGAATCTTATGAATAGAAAAACATGTGTTGAAAAAACTTTCCTTAATATGGTCCGACGCAACTCGATTCTGAATTAGTTAAAATCTAATGTAGTTATTACATATTGAGAAGTTAATACAAAAAATAATTGTAATTATATAAACCTCAATTAATCTAGGGTGTGAGTCCCACAATTAATATCTAAATGAATGCAAACAAGTCTTGCCGAACGTATAATGTGTGGTTCGAGTTCGAGACAAAAAGGAAAAAAAAAAGGTTTAGGATTTTCAATTGTTCCCTATATATACATGTAGAGGGCAGCCGTTAAAAAAAAAAAGAAAGGTGTGAAAAAGAATGATGGTACCGTTAAGAGGAGAGAAGGCAAAAGCAGAACCGAAAGGAAGAAAGCACAAGTAGTGAGAATTGATTTTATAGCTTCATTGTGTTTTGGAGTTTGGTGAAATTTATAGAGCAATTCATTATTCACAGGTAACTTTTCTATTTTCTATGTTCTTTTTCTCGATAATTGTGATTCCTAATATCATTATTGGTTCTATGATACCATGGAGAACTTACCGAGTTGAGGGAAGAAATTTTCCACGTAGGGATGAAAGAAAACAGTGAACTAGAAGATAGGATGGCTGATTGTTTGTGTGGATTAGGAAAGGAGCAGATGAGCTTAGGGTGTCTTCTTTTTTTTTTTTAATGGAATTAGGTCCCTAATGTAGTGAACCATAGCCAATTTGACCAGAAATAAACTCCCTGTTAAATTTTAAGTCTATTTTTCCTCTAACATTCCACTTAGGTTCTCAAACTCAAAATAATCATATTTTAGTTCATATTAAAAGTTTTAGGTTAAATCAATAGTTTAGTCCCTAAACTATTATACAGACCTTCAATTTGTCCTTGAACTAAAAAAATTCTTGATTTGATCCCTAAACTATTGTACAGATCCCCGATTTGGTTCTTATTGTTGATCAATTTGCCCCAAGTTGGTTTTTCTGTACAAAAACAGTTGACATATTTCATTATTAATGTGACACGTTACCATTAAGTTACTGTTTTCTATTGTTAAATTACTGTTTTTCACCGTTAAGTAATGTACACGTCAACTATTTTTTGTACGGAATGATCAATTTGAGGCAAATTGGTAAATAGTAGGGACCAAATTAGGAATTCGTATAATAGTTTAGGGATCAAATCATGGATTTCTTTAGTTTAAGGATCAAATTTGGGGTCTGTACAATAATTCAAAGACCAGATTGAAGGTTTAACCAAAGTTTTAAGATGCCTAAAAAATTTAGAGTATTGCATACACCTTCTTACCAACATCCAACTGAAGGTGTATTTAGTTGTATATTTTGGGTTGAAACTAATGCCTAATTGGTTAACTACCTGATCAGTAGATCAGTTGATCGATTTTTTTCCCACCCCTAGGCAATGCACATTTGCAAAATAATTTCTTCGTAAGGTAATTAAGAAAGGTCGATGCATCTACTATTAAATTACCAAATTGATTTCAAATGTATTGAGAAAAATATACCGAGTAGTAAAAAACCAACAAAACAATACATAATAAAATATGGAAAAGCAAATAAATGCACACTAGTAGGAAAAACAAAGTAAAGTAATTCAAGTTCATATATACTATGAAGTTAATCCCAAGTCCTAACTTGGTAGCTACATTCTCCTTCTCTGTGTTTTTCTCTTTGTTGGTCTAACTTTGAAGGCTAATTAGGGTTTACAGACTATAATTATTTATTGGTTTAACTTCAAAGACTTATTAGGGTTTATAGGCTAATTATTCTTTATATATTTACATTTTTTTAGCATTCTAGTTTTATCTCATGTGTGTGCTAACCCAAATTTGCCTTACAGCAAAATAATTTGACAGAGATTATTGTTATTATTTTTTTGTACAAAGGGGATTGCGGGTAAGGGGAAGGAGAAATGGGGGTAAGGGGGGTCGAACCCAACAATGTGAATGAAAAGCCTACACAATGATTACATAAGCCACACACTAAGGTTCTAATAGAGATTATTTAAATATATATTCAAAGAAAAAAATGCATCTCCCATTCATGCTTTTGTTAGTGCCACACCAAGGTAAGTGCTTCATGAATGCCACTCACTTGAGATTCTCTTCACTGATGATGGTAGTTCTTTAGATTGAGGCATGCTTTTAACAACAATGACAATAAGCAGAAATTATTGTTTGAAGTCATCGAAAATGTTGACTAATATAGCAAAAAATTGAAGAAATACAGGGACAGACAATAGTATGCAGAATATGATGAAAAATTGGTTTTTGCAGAAACTACAATACATAGAGATGAGTGACTGTGACTTTTCTAAAACCACTATCAAGAATTCAAGACAATGAAATTAAACAAAGAACACCAGCCCAAATAGGGAAAAATTAGCCAATAAACAAAGATTATATGGAGAAAACTGAACCATTTTCTCGAGAAACAAATAGTAACTAAATGAAGGAAAATAAAAGAGGAAAAGAAAAAGTATAAAGATAAATAGGAAGCTTACACCAATTGATTTGAGAATTTCACCATTAAAGTGATGGAACAAGTTGGAGACCGTTACAAAAGCAGAAGATGAGGAGAAGGTATGAACATTCAAGAGACAAATGGCACTATTTATAGGCATCAATTCAAAATCCAGAAAAGTACAGCCCAAAATAATTATGGTCCAAATCCTTTATGTCTAAAATTGGGCTAGACTTTTTGAGTTGGACTTTTCTCTGGGCTCAAGTCTAAGCCTTGTCAAGTGTCAACTAGTCTCCTTTTTTTTTTTTTTTTTTCTTCAATTTGGGTTTATCATGTATATCTTTTAATATTTACTATTTTTAGTTTTTTTTTTTTAATTTCTATTTGGTTTACTATTTTTATTTTTTGGTATAAAAAATTCACATTATGAAATCATGAAACTGAAATGTAGCACACCATACACAAATTGTAATTCTTATAACTATTAATGAAAAACTCGACCAGCTCATAATAGGAAAAACCCATCTATTCTTCAGTAATTAAAAATAATGTAAGGCGAATTGCACTATAGTATTCTCTGTTGAAATATACCAAGATGGGCCAAATATTTCACCAAGATTAACATAGATGTAGCATTTTGCTGTTGGTAAACAATTTTGAGAAATGAAAAAGGTAATTTCCCTTCATTAAACAGGGTTTTTATTTTTTTGGATTTAATCAGGGGTTGAAGTCCCCTCATTACATGATTAACCCCCAAAGGAAAAAAAAAAAAAAGAGGAAAAGTATTCAAATTGATATATACCATTTATGTATCAACAAAGAGGAAAGATTATTTGACGGCGTAAGAAGGGCAAAGACATGTAGTAAGCCTCTATCCACCGTTCACTGGGAGTGATCTGCATGATGATCTTCTTCAACATCTTTAGGGGACCCACCATAACCCCCCACTGAACCACCAGGCGTGACCCTAAGCAAAACCCCCGACGCTTATTCCCCAACCATACAATGCCACCTCTCCTCCGCCTCAACCGCCTCCTCCCAGGGTAGCACCACCCCACCAACATCGTGGAATTTGAAAGCATTGATAAGGTTACAGCAGTGCCTTTCCTTAGCATTGCTACTTAGCAAGTTCTACATATGATGATTCAATTGTTGTTAGATATATAGGGTTATAGGACTTATGCTATCAATGATGTTGATCATGATGGTTATAATGGCAGCAATTATAACAATCATGACCTTTAAAGCACGATGCTTTTGTTCAATAAAGTATTGGCTTTGGAGGGGATTTCACTCAAATTTTTAACTTTATACCATGTGGGAGTCATGATTAATGAGATAGGGCTTTTTGTGCTCAACTTGAAATGGGTTCAAAAAACAAATTAAGGTACTTGAGAGTTTAGATGCATCAATCAAGAGGAGAATCCTAAAAGCATTCCCTCCTTTTGCTTTCTTAAGCATCTAGCTAGACTAGTTTAAGAAAGAAGATCATAAAGTTAATCTTTTATTAAAGGAAAACTATTTTTGATAAGATCATAGAATTGGCTTTGAACTATAAGAACCTATTCATGGATAGATGGTTAATGTTTTGAGTTTTACTTGTCATTCTTTATTGGTGCATATATTGCAATAAAATTTTCATGAATTTTTATTGTGAAAACATAGTTGTTAATGGGTTAAAAGTAATTTGGTTGGAAACATGTATTTTTTTAAATTTTCTTTTGAGTTGTACAATAAGAAGTAACTAATTTTCATTCTTAAATTCACCATACTTATATACCATAAGATTTAAACTCAAGATCCTAATTATACTTTTACTAGAAGAAAATTGTGGACTACATAGGCCATTGGTAAATTTCTTATAATTATCTATTGTGGAAATGGGAGGGCTTATACAATGGACCCAACTACATATATTTTACCTGTTTATTCTTCTTTAACCATTCCTTCAAATCAACATGGATTAAAATTGACATTTGACATTAATAACTTCAGAAGCAAGAAGCTTAAAACCTCAAACTAATAGTTGTCACTAGGTAGTTTTGATAGCTGTCACTAGATACTGCTTCTTCTTCTTCTTCTTTAAAATTGACATTTGACATTAATAACTTCAAAAGCAAGAAGCTTAAAACCTCAAACTAATAGTTGTCACTAGATAGTCTTCTTTTTTTAAATTGATATTTGATATTAATAACTTCAAAAGCAAGAAGCTTAAAACCTCAAACTAATAGTTGTCACTAGATAGTTCTGATAGTTGTCACTAGATACTTCTTCTTGTTCTTCTTCTTTAAAATTGATATTTAACATTAATAGCTTCAAAAGCAAGAAGCTTAAAACCTCAAACTAATAGTTGTCACTTGATAGTCTTCTTCTTTAAAATTGACATTTGACATTAATAACTTCAGAAGCAAGAAGCTTAAAACCTCAAACTAATAGTTGTCACTAGATTCTTCTTCTTCTTGTTGTTGTTGATGCAGTTTAATAAAAAACAAAAAAAAGAAAAAAGAAAAAAAAAGAGGAAAGTAACTCAAACTTTTTTCCTCGTTTTTTTCTTTAATTTAAAGTTGTGCAATGAAAGACTATCTCTTTACTAACCTCGTCTACATATTATATGATGAGAGATCATCTCTTTATCTACATATATGAGAGATCATCACTTTATCTGCATATTATATACAATTTAAATTTATGATTTCTTACTCTTATTGAAAAATAAAATACTAATAGAGTTAGGTTGTTGGTAGCTTGAATGAAAACCCTCAATATGTCATTTAACAAATAACCAAGATCTTTGAATCAACCTATCAAGTTTAGTGGTTCGTCTCAAAGTCTAAGTGTTTGGGTTTCATTGGTCAGAAGTTCTACTTCCACCAATGACTTGAAAAATTATCCCATTCCTCCAATTTCCCCATGTTCAAAAAAATAATAATAATAACCAAGATCTTTATCAATAGATGTATAAAATAATAATAATAATAATAATAATAATAATAATTAGTAGTACAACATCGGATTTTTGTATTCATTAATAAATTATAAGAGCAAAAGCAAAGGGAAATATTATCTTTATTGGAAGGTTAAAATACTAATTTGATCCCTCAACTTTTAAATTTATATTGAAATTGTCTTTTCAACTTTCAAAAATACTAAGATTGTTCTTGAATTTTAATTTTCGATACTAAAATAATCCTTTCGTTAATAAAAATACCATGTGACTCATTATTTCACCACAAATCAGCTCTTTTTTAAAATATTAATAATGTGTAAAACCAAACCATCATATATTTTGCCAACTAAATTGTTCTAGTAGTTGTCATTAGATATTTTCTTCTTTTTGATGCAATTTAATAAAAACCAAAAAAAAAAGAGAGGAAAAATCAAACTTTTTTTAATTTTTTTCTTTCTTTAATTTAAAGTTGCACAATGAGAGACCATTTCTTTTCTAACATCATCTACATATATTATACACTGGAGATCATCTTCTCATCTACGTATTATACAAGTTAAATTTATGATTTCTTACTCTTACTAAAAAAAAAAAAAATTACTAATAGATTTAGGTCATTGGTAGCCCAAATAAAAAACCTCAATATATCATTTAACAAATAAACCGAGATCTATATTAGTAGATGTACCCAAAAAAAAAAAAAAAATTAGTAGTAGAACATGGGATTTCAGTATTCATTAACAAATTACAAGAGCAAAAGCAAAGGGAAATATTATTTTTCTTGGGAGGTTAAAATACTAATTTGGTCCCTTAATTTTTAGATTATATCGAAATTGTCTTTCAATTTTGAAAAAACTAAAATTGCCACTAAATTTTAATTTTCAATATTAAAATAGTTCTTTCATTAACAAAAATGCCATATGACTTGTTATCTTATCACAAAATTAGTTCTTTTTTAAAATACTAATAACACATAAAATCAAATAATCATATTTTGCTATCGTAACATATTTTTAGTTATACATAAAATTAATTTATAATCAAAGTTGAAAGAGCAAATTGATATTTCTAATCAAAATTAAGGACTAAGATGACACTTTGTTTTCAAAATTCAAGGACTAAGTTGGTACCTTTTTTCAAAATTTAAAGACTATTTGGTATCAAAAATAAAAATTCAGTAACAATTTTGATACTTTTGAAGTTAAAAGACAATTTCAATACATATCTAAAAGTTGAGGGACCAAATTGGTGTTTTAACATTCTTGGAAATAATTTGCTGCGCAGCTAAAGTTCTTGTGTCCCTCAGATTATAAAGGGCTTAAGAAGGGTTCTTGCGTCCCAAATTGCTCCTCTCCCCAACTCAAATTTACAAACTACGCCGCTGATTCTTTGAAAATTCTTAAAGACTTAAAATGTGAATTTGAATAACAAAATTTCATTAACTCCGAAAACTAAAACCAACCAAAACTGAAAAGAAAAACACTGATTTCTAAAAATTGTGAAAAACATATGTGAGCTTTCAAATTTTTTAAAACAACACCTAACTGGTCAGCAAAATTTTAAAAAGCAAGTGAAAATTAGAAATTGCAATTCAACCAAACAGACATAGCAAAATATTGGTTTCAGTTTCTAATTTCCAAAATTTTAGAAGTGATACCAATCTGCACTCAGATCATTGGCTCATACAAGATGGAACTTTAGCATAAATCGAGTTCTTATCTTGATTGTTAAACACGCAATTGTCTGTTTTGGGCACTGATATGTGACAAGTACCATCTTTTCTAATCTTTGTTTTGTAAGTTTTTCCTAGTTCTTATTTAATGTTTCATGCAAATTCTCGAATTCTGGCCTCAAGATCTTGTTCAGTGAAGAATTATGGACCTACCTTCAAGTGTTCTTTCTATTTCTTTATTCAGATTGTATATTTACCCCTGATCAGAGCATTTTAGGTTATTTTTTGTACATATCACAACTAATTCCTCTTTATCTAATTTTAAAAATACATCTCACATACCATTATTTACAATCATGATGTGGCATTAAATAGGTTTAATATGTTATTAAATTAATAAATGTATACAACATCATAAATGAATTTATGAATAAAAAATTAATTATATAATGACATATATTGAAATTGTTTGGTATAGGATTTAAAACTAGTTGTTAGTAGTCTTGTCCACTCTAATAGTTGATAATTGTTATTTCAAATAATCTTATTCATTGAATTAGATAAAATTATCAATCATTAGTTTCAAACCATTATATCAAACAAGCTCATCATGTTGCAAGCTTACAATCTTATCATACAATATTGTAACAATATCATTTTGATATACAAGGCTCCTATATATTTAGTAAGGATAAAGATGGCAACAGGTACTTGCCCCTCTCCATCCTCATCCCTATCATTGGCGAATATGAAGATCCTAATGAGAATTTTTGACAGAGGGTAAAGAATGCTTTCCATCCCCATCCCCATCAAGAATGAAGGTCCCTGCAACTACGGAAAATCCTCATGAAAGTATACAAAAATTTATATTTTTTTATATACATAAATATTTTGATTTATTTAATTCTTAGCCCATAAAAGAAGTCAAAAACATTTTAGAAAAATAGTTATTTCCAAGTTTTTTTAGAAAATGAATGAAATCAAATAAAATAAATTCAAATTAAGAGCAACATATTAAACAAAGAGGTGAAATCATAAGAAATTAAGGCAGTAAAGAGAAGAAATGTAGAAATCAAAATGTTTTGTGATTAGAATTCATGAGTACGAGGATTTAAATATTTAAGTTTATTATAATTT